TTTATTCCTTCATTTATATTAATGAACAAGTGATTGAAACGGCCACGATACACACTAATGTAGACCAGCAACCGTAAATTTGATCGTTAATAGGATAAAAGCGACAAAGTTGATCGTAAATTGATAGCCATTCGAAATATTGATTTATTGAAGTCAGAATTTTGTCAATGCGATGATGGAAAAATAAAATAAAAAATATATAATTTCTTTTATCATGAACCATACAGCGTGCAGTACCAATCGATTTTGTGTATACAATTGCGCATATGTAAGTTTGAATTCATGAGTTTTATTACAAACATAAAACTAAATATTTACTTATTAAAATTAATTAAAAAATATTAACTTAAACTCTTTTGTTGCTTATATTTAGAATTATCGTATTATAATCATGTGTTGTTATATTATATTATACTTCAAAAATTGTTTTATTGTCCACAAATGTGTCTAATAGGAATGACATACAATTTTGAATTAAATTTAATTTTCCACATTTTTCCTTGTATTTCATCCAAAGGACAAGATATTATGTTGCTATTTATTTCCTCAATAATATATATGTCCAAATTGTCTGATGAGAATGGTCGTGAATATAAAATATCATCTGTTTTCCTCAATTGATAACCAACAACATATATTGTATTATTGGTACATTTAACGACATTTTTAACTATCAGTAAGATTCCACTTTTTGTCATAATACAATTATTTGCTTCGCTATTGCAATCAATTTCATAATTTCCTAATAATATTAGTTTCCTGTATTGCGATTCAATATCTTGAATTTCATCGGTCAAAAAACCAGTAACATGTCTTGTTTTTAATTCAAATTTATGAAGTGAATGTAATGGTTTATTCATGCTCTCATATTGATTTAGCCTTCTTTCTGTGTATCGTCGTATAACTTGCTGCAATGGTTTTTCTTTTTTGCGCAGAAAACTTTTTAAAATTTGTAAAAAATTTTCGAATCTAAATGAACTAAAAGAATCAAGTGGCCCAAATTTTCGAACTTCATTTGAGATGTGTAATAAATTATGTACATTATGAGATATATATTCTTTACCATAAATTTTCTCAAATGATTGAACAAAATGTTGCAACAGTTTTTCTGCATAATCTATATTGTTTTTATTTACTATTAGCGTTGGACTGATGAGTATTGATACAGCTACATGCAAAGTCAAAAAGTGTATATATACGTCTGTATTTAAAACAATTTTTAAAACAATAGGTCCAGTGTAAAGTAAAAATTGCCGAAATTCTGTGGCTTTCCAGTATGCTACTTCACTTAAACTTCGAGGTCGCCTTGAAAATTCTTTAGGCACTGTACTTTTTAAATTAATAAGTCTTTGTGAAATATTGTCTTTTGCTTGAGCACTAATGCGAACAGCTAGTGGTCCACTCATCCACAACAATATCATTTTTTTTACAACGCCCAAACAAATTAAGTGCATATAATCAAGAGCAATATTTGACACTAATCCTAAATTAGGCACAGAGAGTAAAATTGTAGGTTCTCCTTGATGATAATCAGAATCTGTTTGACGTACAAAGTCTTCGTTAGTTCTAAATGCATCAGTTGATCTTTGTTCATAAGGAAAGCACATTTTAGAGTTAATAGAATCTCCGTAAATAGTACATTTAGTACAGCTTGAATAGCCATTATGTCCTTTAATATTTAAAATAAAAGATTTTGCTGGAGCATCACAAATAATAGCCTTAACATTAATTTTAATATTACAGTTAAAGAGATCTGAATGATATCCGTTCTGTATTAATGGTATTAGTTCTGTCACAAATTGTTGTAAAAATTCATTGGAATTATTTGGTTTCTTTTGACCATAAAACAGTCCGACTACATGCACTTGATTTGAAATATCGTCTGAAAGTAATATTGGCCAGAAACTGCTTGGCGATGATTTGGATAATGGCAGACCGTCTATGTTAATTAATAAATTAATTTCAGATACCTTCAAAGACATATTTTTGTAGTGCAGCAGAAGTACTTCCAAAGTGCTCAATAAACCAAAGTGGTAATACGATCCTCCAGATAATGCAACTATTTCAGCAGTTTTCTTAGGTGTTTTTAGAAGCGTTCTTGCGTCCTTCGGCAAAGTTTTGAATTGTGAATGTGGAGCATGTCTCAGAATTTCCATAAGAGCATTATGCTTGATTTTAAATTCAAAACACCAATTTCGAAGATCGCGTAACAATTCGTTATTCATACTTTCATCTTCATCGTCAATATATTCAATATCCATGTCTGCATCGTCACTCGAATCATCAGAGTCAAACGATAACGGTTGCATTTCTTCTTGTTCTTCGGAATCAACAAAATTTTCATCGTCTGTGACCACTTCTGATGAGTTATGTATTTCATCTGACAATAATTCGTTATCATTGTTGTCACTGTTTGGTGAATATTGATTAATGTGCTCCTGGTCACTAGAAGAAGATGAAACTGATGGATCATTTTCAATTCGGCATTTTTTTATAGATTCGACCGATGGTTCAAAATAAGTTGCACCACTGCTTGATGTCGATGCTAGCAACAAATCTTTTTCTGTTTCTTCTTGTGCTAATCGTCTCTTGTGCCTCGAAGAAATATGATAGTTATCTTTTCTATCCATGATATTTTATTATTATATAAAAATTATTTATTGTTGTATAACCTATAAAATAATCAAATACACTTTAATTGTACATATAGCAATTACATATTATTATATAACAACCGTATATAGAGAAATTCAATAAAATAATATATACTTACCTTTGACTCACTAATATTTATTACTTTAAATTATTTTTCACTAGCTTTTAATTTTCTAAGCTTTTCTAACTAAAGAATTATTGAGAGTTCACTGAGATTTCTTTTCTTTACTGAATGTGACCATTCCTATCATATTACAAAAACGCAAATGAATCGTTCCTCTGAAACGTTGTAGAGAAATAAGACATTTGTTGTCAACATCAAACAAGATGTTAATGTGACGTTTTATGTCCTTCAGATAATAACCGCGAATACAGAAAACATGTCAAAAACTATCCATTTATGATTTCTTTAAGTTATACTGACGCTACTGCGGTACGCCATCTTATTATATATTATTAAATACGTATTAACTATGTGTTTGATACATTTCCACATTTATACATTTATATAATATGCGCAATATGTCTGCTATGTATTACATACGTATTTTGATTTGGATATTTCATATCTATTGCATTAATTACATATTTAATACATTATATTTGATATGAAATGAAACGCAATGTAAATATGTATTTAATATATATTTGCAATGAAAGGTGCTGTGCGGGGAGTTATAACGAAAAGTACGTCCGTATTGTACAAAGGACAACGAATAACTGAACCGATAATAGCACTGTTGGAAAATTAAATCAGGAAAACTGACTGTCAAAAGACTTTTGAGCGCTACTGTATATGAGCAAAGTGAACCAAAGTTAATACATGTATTTTAATTATAATATAATAAATATATGACGCAATAGAACCAATAAATGACCGCAACCAATAAACGCAATAAATGACCAATTTTTTGGTAATAGAAGGAGGAGGGCATATTAGGTGGCGGCGGGACGCTGTGCGTTCGAGATCTGCGTATCTTTTTCGTTCCAGAAAGAGAAAAATATCGAGAGCGCGGTCCTGCTAGGCCGGGACTCGAACCCGGGTCTTTCGCTTGCCGGGCGACTGCTCTAAACCACTGAGTTACCTGACGCTCCACGCTCACGACACTCTCCTCTTCCTAGATAACGCTCAGAGATGCAGTTCGGAAGCGACATCTCTGGCGCGATCCCGAGCGCACGGCGACTACAGAGAGAAACAATGTTACTGTACCAAATGGTACAGCTGTCAGTCTCTCAAAGTCAAAGGTTGCTATCCTTTAAGACCTGCTGTCCATGTATGCCCGTCTCCACCGTTGCCTCTCCTCATCCGATGCAAATAATACAAATAAGCCCCGGGGTCGACACCAATTTTTTGGCAGCCCCCGGGTGCTTGGACGCAATGCGCCATGGGAGACCCACCAATTCATCAAAAATGCAGCATGTTATGTCCAACGTAACTTCTCTTCATTTCGATCAAGTGCATTTTCTGTTACCACCAGAAATGCGATAAATGTCCGATGAACAATGGATTGATAATAAGGTGTCAAAATCTAACTATTGATTATTGCTCACATGTCGTAAGAAGCATCTTTCTCCTTCTAATAAAAGGTAGTGAGAATTCGCGCGGGGGTATCTCGCCACCTGCCTATAAAAACGGGTGCAACTGCCCACACAGTCAATCAGTTTTTGAGTAGTAATAATAGAAGTTTTAGAAAGTCAGTTTCAGATTTTAGCTTTTAATTCAGCAAATCAATCAATTAAAACCCATCACATAAACAATATTCAACAATTATTAAATATACAATTATTTAATATTCAACAAATATTTAACAATTGGAAATAAAACATTAAAAATCGTAAATAAGTTATTGGATAGATAAAGGTTTGTTTTCCTAACATATCCTCTAACTGATTTCTAAGCGTCGCGTTACACTTTGTAACGATCCGTACGAATAGTTACGTAAGAAACCAGACCGATAGGGGAAATTCTAATCGCAGAACATCGCGGATCAAAAACGCAAGAGGACAGCGCGTCCTCCAGAATTATAAACAGCGCGACCGCCGAACAACCGCGGTAAATAGCGAATCAAACGAGATTCGAGATATATAAAACGCCGCGTAATCGTAATCGAGAGGATTATTATTCGATCATCCACTCTCGAAAGAGAAGCAGAACCGATCTACCGCTCCCGACGGAGAATCCGATTCCGATCATCCGCTCTAAGAGAGACCAATTCTACTCCGCTCCTGGCAGATTACTGTTCGCCGATTGGCGACTGTAATCACTCCGCCGTCGTTACACGGATACGTGTCATCGACATTCGACTCTACTCCGCTCCTGGCAGATTACTGTTCGTCGATTGGCGACTGTAATCACTCCGCCGTCGGCTCACGGATTCGTGAGACCGACACTCATAAGGTCCGCGGCACCGTTGGCCGCATCCGAAATCGTGTCCGAATGAGCCGAGCTCGTTGAGTTATAAAGGAAACTCCGAGAGCTAAGGTCCCGTGTACAAGGACCAACGGACGCATCGCATACGCCGAAACGATTCAAATCTCCGCGATAGGAGATCGAAGGGAGCGCCGCTAAGGCAATATCCCGCGTGCAGCTACGCTGCAATCTCAACGACCGCGGACATTATACGATTCCGAAACGCCGCTAAAATCACTGGAAGAAATGTCAACCGCGCTTAAGAGACACGACGCCGAAAGAAACGTCAACAGAATAGACTCACGAAGACGCGACACTGACGTCGTCCGCGTCCCGCGCACCGCGCGTCACATCACGCAAACCGGCGTCTAAACAAGCTTCTGTCAGGCGATACAAACAACCAACGGCGTCGACACGTATTGTTCGATCTGTATATTGTAATTATAGTCAGCTTAGTATTTAAATATATTATTCATTATTATTTTTTAAAAACACTGTTTCTCAATTATTCCGCTTATCACGAACCCGACCCGACGAGCGATCCAAACCCGCGACGGATCGCGGTTATAACTTTACTCATATTCCCAAATCTTCGTCCACGAACCTTTTGAGTCCGATCCTGAGCTCCTCAGTCTCTCTGTGACCATTGAAAGCGTTTCAAAATAATTAAAATATTTTGAAGGAAAGACGAAAGCTGAATCAGTAAGTAAAATCACTATTTTAGTTTATTCGCCTAAATTCACACACACACATACGTTTACACATTTACTCACTCACAATCACATTGTCCATCCCGGGGTAAAGTGGTTAAATCAATTGACCCAAAAAGGACAACATCAACATGTTTTAAACAACTAAGACGTGACATAAAATTTGGTGACAGCGGCGAGACACTAAAAGTTTGTGTGATAATAAAAAGAAAACAATGAAGTGTAAATGCCAAAATTAGGGCGAAGTCCTCCTCCGTCAAGATCAAATCAAGAATCAGCAATAGAAAACCTTAATCAAGCCAATATGAATATCACTGAATTACGAAGAATGGTAATGGAGCAACAACAAATTGAACGACTTCAGCAGCAGTAGCAACAACAACAACAACAGTAAAATGGACAAATCGGTAATCAAGGGATTGGACTTTTAACAGAAGGTAATTTCGTACATTTTTCAATCAGAGATGCACTCGATGCAGTGCCTACTTATGATGGAGAAAACATTCCATTCATTTATTTCGTCGAGGAAACCTTGAGCATGATCGCACCAACACAAGAAAATATATTAGTAAGAGCAATAAGGAATAAGTTAAAAGAGGACGCACACCGATCAATATTAGGAAAAATTTTTAACAATATGCGCGAATTAATAGAATTTTTAAGAGTTAAGTACGGTTCCAGAGACACAGTTTACGAAACCCAGGGATATTTAGCTTATTTATGTCAAAAGAAAGATGAAAAAGTGGTCACATATGTGAATCGAGTTCGGGAATTAGGAAAGCGCATATTAGACGCTTAAAAAAGAGAATTAGTCTAGAATTTCAAAATTCAATTGAGGCTCATCTAAAAACTAGCTTCTTACGCGGATTAAATAAAGAAATTATAATATCTAAAGAAGGAACGTTTGAACAATTTGAGAGTCGAGCAATTGACGCGGAAAAAGAACTCGAAACTATAAACATGATAAGGCGAGTCGTACTCGCAAAGAATACAACAGAGAGGCGAGCCACTCGACGCATAGATGCCGTAGAGATCATATGCCAGTATTGTCATAAAAAAGGTCACACAGCTGATCGGTGCAGGAAGATCCCTAAACAGCAAGGAAATGTTAAACGTATAAATTCTAATAATCCAATCCAATATCAAAGAAACGTTGATCATGTAAATCAAAATTATTCAGCTCCAATACAATTTCCAGTAAGACAAAATTTTCGACAAAATGTACAAAATACAACAAATAAATTTTTCCCACAAAATCCTCGACAAGCGTATAATAGATCTTTTCAAAATAATCAAAATACTGGTTCTGGACAAGAAATGTTCCGCAATAATCAACCCTTAATCTTTCAAAATCAATTAAATCCAATAATTTGTCAATATTGTAAAAAATTTGGACATTCAATTGAAGAATGTAGGAAACGTGCTTATAATAATAATAATAATAATAATCAGCGAATTACACAAAGTCAGGGAAACAGATATATTCCCGACATGAAAGGGGCAGCTTCGGGAATGCAAAATACATGCCCCAGTCGAGTAATGTCAACGGAACCAATTTCCAATTCCGAACAGTAAATCTAGCAAATATAGACGATGTACCAACAATCCAATTATCAAATAAGGATTTTAAGGAAAATTCAAAGTTTCTAGTTGACAGTGGATCAAGGCCTAATATAATTAAACAAAGTTGTTTAAAAAGAGACATTTGGGTAAATGAAAATAAAATTCTTTAGCTAAGTGGTATAACAGCGCATCATGTGTCCACCTAAGAGCTGGCACTGATATCTTAGGATGTCCAGTTGCTTTCCATTTAATGGAAGATAATTTTCCAATACCTCAAAATGGGATCTTAGGATCAGATTTTTTTAATTCCAAGTCAATTATCAAAGGAATCAAATAGAATGGAAAAATATAATTATTCCTTTTGAACCCAAAGAAAATCCAGAAGAAACTTTAATAATTCCAAGTAGATCTATTTCTCAAATTCATAATAAATATAATATAATATAAATATAAATAAATATAAATAAATATAATAAACACGTTTTAAACAACTAAGACGTGACAAGCAAAAGCCTTGTCAAGTCTTAGTTTATCTTGTTTTGGAGAGAATGCGAATATCGGCAACGTAGCATTCACATTTATGTAACGTCTATGTGTAAGAAAATTGGGTAAATGTTCACTTTAGGGAAGTCACCTTTGATGACCTTGATCTTGACATATATTATAGAGGTCATTCTCCTGAGTAACCTTCAGAAGGTTTTAGCCGTCGCTCATTGTTTGTTAAAAAGTTATTGATGAAAGAAGTTCAAAAAATATATTACAATTTTTCGATACTGTGTACCGTTAACGAGCAATATCGAACAACTAGCGAGAGGCTGCGCCCTCCGCACTCCCCCTCAA